TCCTCTATATCCCTTGATTCTCCTCCTGTCCCACTATCATGCTCAGTCCCCACCAGGATTTCAGCACTTCCTCTTTGTTACGTTCCCCTTGATCATGCCCTACCAGGTAGCTGTGAAAGGAGGAGATCAAAGTACAAGTACTGCCGTTGTGATCTTAGATACCACCCAGTGCACCCCTTGGGTTTTCTGAAATTCACCTCATTTTTCTAAAGGATGATGGAAGGAATTTTTTAAAAAGAAAAAGAAATCTGAAAACTCTTGTAATGGAAATAAATAATAAGAAACAGTCTCGCCTGCCAGATACATTGTATAATACATTACTTTGAAAAACTAGCAATTTGAAGACGGGAAATGGACTGTGAAGATAATTAAATGGGCTGGGCTTCTAATTTAGAAGGAAGAACTCCATAAGTTATTTAAGGTCTTCCATCATCAGATCCCATTTCTCCTTCACTGCTCCCGCCCAGGACAAGAAAAGGAAAACATGTTCTTTCCCCTTCCTGCCCACCATGTCCACATCCCCCACATCAAGTTTCAGGACAAAGAACCTAGCCAACCGCTTGCTTTGCCAAAGGAGCTCTCCAGACATCTCCTGGAAAGGTGATGTCTCCACTGTCACTAACCCTGGACTATTTTAGCATCCCTTGTAATTCATGTACGTCCCATCCACCCTTTTTAAGTAGACCCTTTGTGAAACATCTTTGAATGATTCTAATGTGCGTGTGCCATCTCTTTCCTTTTGAGACTGACCGGTAGATACTTCTCTTTATGAATCCTTCGTTCCTCAGACTCTCACAAGACGATGCTATCTACCCCTTTGGAAAGTACTGTTCTTTTATGGCTTTATGGCATGATTTGCATAGATGTTTTATGTCTGTCTTTATCCGGGAATTCAGTATATTCCAGACAAGGGCTGGACTTTGTTCATTCACCATCACCCTGACAGAAATCTGGTCTCAGCAGACCCACTAAGTAAAAGACTGACTGGCTGAAAGACAAGGGCACTGACAAGAATATTGTGCATTGCTTGATTTCAGTTCCTTTTCCATCTGCTGACTGAGGACCGATCTTCCAACATTAAAGCCAAAGGTTTTTTCACGTCAGAGAGGGAAGTATATTTTACTTCTGGACCCCCGAACTGCAGCGTTGGATCTGGCCTATGACACTAGAACATGCATCTCCCGTCTATTCCCTGCACACCAGTCAAGGATGTATCATGATCGATGTGTCTCCGTGTGTGTTGCAGGCCCTTCTCCGTAGAGCCATCTGCTGGTACTCTTAATGTGGGCGAGACCATGCAACTGGAAGTGGAGTTTGAGCCCCAGACCGTAGGCAGTCACTTCAGCAAACTTATTGTGAGTTACGACACAGGTATGCATTAGTCTCTGTTGAAAGGTCTTTGAGTTAAGAGAAGCCCAAAGGGAGATACGACGGGAGTAGGAATGAGTTACCTTAACTGTGTTAGAGTAAGCTAAGAACCACAAAGTACAGAACCAAAGAATAAGTACCTCCACTAGAAATCGGTTGAGCCAGATTTCAATCTAGTTTTTCCACACCGCTCAAGAGACTGGGGAATACAGAGCTCAGGACGTAACTGCTGCCCAAAGTCACGCTGGTAGATTGAGGCTGTGCCATGGATAAATAGAAACTTGAAGGTAACTTAATAGCTCGTGGCCTTCCCATTCAATTTATTGCTGCAATCATCCACCATCATCCAGTGTAGTCCCCTGTTCTGGGCGGACTTGTTTGTGCCCACTAGTCTGTTTAAAATCCAGTCACTTTAATCCTTCAATCATGCCAGTCGCTAACTTGGCATCTTGCACAAGTGTGGGACTGTGTCTGTCACCTCTAACATTTTCTGAAGGGCCACGCACTGTGTCATCATGAGAATGGCCCGCTGTTTTTGCAACTGTTTAATTTTTTGGCTATGTAGACTACACGTACATTATGCAAGTTTCCAAAGTTAATTTTCAAATTAATATTTTAGCATTGTCATTTATTATTTCATGATTTTTCTCATTTTGTCCTCATGTCCTGTCTACCCATTCATCATGATTGACCCAGATTCTCTGCATCACATGGGGTAGCAAAAGAGTCAGGAAAAGAGCAACAGCAGACATCCACATCATAGTTCAGCGTCGCTGGCCTTGCGGATGCGTTTCTGAGCAGCGTATTTCAAGCCCTTGCCTTTGTGGTCACATAGTCCTGATGCCACGTTACTCAGCATAGCAATGCATATCCAGTGGCACAAATCTATATCTTATCTCCTAGTGTTAGATGCAGGAGCCCTGGTGGCATAGTTGTTATGCATTGGACTGCTAGCTGCAAGGTCAGCAGTTTGAAATCACCAGCTGCTCCATGGGAGAAAGATGGGGCTTTCTACTCCCATAAAGAGTTACAGACTCAGAAATGCACAGAGGCAGCTCTACCTTGTCCTATAGGTCGCTATGTGTTGGCATTGACTCAGCGGCCATGAGTATTCTAGTTTTGCGAGCAACAGAAAACCAATTCCACCGTATATAGTTTCAGGTTTTGAATATAATTAAGACTTACTTTATAGCCCAGAATAAAGTACCTTTAAAACATTGTTGATTATATCTCTATCTCATCCTTTAAATTTTTTCTAGGTGTATTTTAATACATTTAACCTTAGTACTTTGGTCCACGTGTGTAATTTACACATAAATGAATCGATTTCCTTTGGGGATATAGTGTCACAACGTTTTATTGACTGAATCAAAAAACTGTTGAAGCCAACTGCCTTTGGTTGTTGATAGATCGATGGAATTAAAACTGGAGGGAAGCTCATCTCATTAAGTCATTAGATTTTACAGATGAAAAAACCGAAGCCTTAAGGAATGAAGTGGCTTGCCCAAGGTCACATAACACAATTTGAACTCAGACTCAGACTTTTCTAACTGCCGCCTAATGCATTTTTCCACCACAGTGGATTGTCTCCCTCATCTCTCCTTTTACCACATGAGCATCTTCACTCCTTAATCCTTTGACTTTGAAATGATGCTGCCTTCTCCACGCAGCCCTCAATCTAGATTTTACTTTCATGGAAACCTGTGGAATTACACATATGCTTTCCCCGAGGAAAGAAAAGGCAAGTTGGACCATCAGGAATAGCTGTGTATTCAAATTGAGCCCTGTGTGGGAAAGTTGGTTGCCGTAGCCTGTGGTACAAATGAAGACTACAGACAGAGGGGCGATGTCGCCTTCTGTGAACTAAACTGCGGGGAAAGAGTGTGCTTTCATCTTTATTGTGGGTTATCAGTGACCAGAGCCTGTAACCTTCTATTAGTGGAAAACAGTAATGACTGCCTACCGATTAATTGCGGAGCTTTTTCAAAGCAGCCATGATCATTGGCTTCTCATTTCACAAAATAAGCATCAGATTGAGCTTTCCGCAGCTGTTTGAAGTATAAATTGATTTGAGGAGAGACAGTTTAACATGGGCTGTTGATGAAAGTCTTTTCTTCAAACTTCCCCACAACGATGTTCCAGAAGGAGAAGCATTGATCCTCCTCAGCAGGAGGCACTCAGTTACATGCCTAACAGTTGTGTTTGTGTCTGCTGCTCTTGGTCCCGCACTGGGCATGTTCTCGATTAAATGAACTAGGAGGAGACATTTTGATTTTGTTTTTCTGGCGACCAGATTTTCAATCAGTGTTGTAGCAGTTTTACACTGTCAGACTTGATTTTACTAACATTTTCCAGAACCATAATTTTTTTCTCCTTCCTTTCCCTCTCTTCTTGTGGATTTTCTTATGTTGTGAAATTAAATGCCCGTAGGCAATTGGTTTTATACTAGAAACAATTTGGTTGTCTTTTAAAAATTTTTAAAAGAATATTAAACATGCAAAAAAATGTGCTGAGGAGCTCATGGAAGCTCTGATTGCTTGGCATCTGCTGCTCTTTGCTGGACTTGTACATAACCAACCAAATGCCCTTGAGTTGATTCCATCTCCTGGTGATTCCCTCTAGGCTACAGTAGAACTGGACTCCATAATCAATAAACAGTGGCTGGGTATTTGGAAGTTAATCACCTGATGTTTCTGCTCAGATGCTGTGGGTTAATCGCTGAATTTTCAATAAGATTCTGAGAAACTTTATTAATCTTTGAGTTCAAGGGATAATTAGTATTCAGAACAGGCTTTTAAAAAAAGTTTCTTGTTGGCCTTTCAGTACTTGAGTGGGCACTTGAGGTCAGGGCACGGCCGAGTTTTCTTTAATGGCTGGTGAGTGTGCTGTCACATGAACCACTAGCCTTGCCAGAAAATAAAACTGATGCAGTTAGTCAGAGTTTTAAAGTATTATATCTCCTACTGAAGAGGAGAGACTTCGATTCAGAAGCCAGAAGTTGGCAAGTAGACTTATTTTTTTCCAAGATGGATAAGTACAACTAAATACATGAGCAACCATCATATTAGTACTTCACAGAGCAAGTTTGCCATCACTTATATCTTAGACTCTAGTAATTTGCTATAACTCTCAAGAAATTAATCTTTTATCCCTAAAGGCGAATAAAAGAATACTAGAATATAATGTAGTAGGTAATTTGGTGTAATATAGTTTTCACTTTGAAACTGTTCAGTAATACCTGAATATCCTGTACAATCTTAACTTAATATGGACAGTGCTTTTCAATTGTATGTATTATACTTAATTATAAGCGTGTGTCATTCTAATTAGATAATCTAACAAAACATTGTTAATATAAAAGTCAATTTTTTTAATGGTGGTTAGGTATATGAAACATTTGCCATTTCCTCGTTTTTAATTACATACAATTCAATAACATTAATTACACTCTCGCAACATCATTGGTTAAGCCTTTGGCTGCGAACCAGAAGGTCAGAGGCTTGAGTCTGCCCGTCATTCCTTCAGAGAAAGATGTGACAGGCTGCTTCTGTAAAGCTTGTAGCGTCGGGAACCTTATTGGGGCAGTTTTGCCCTGCTCTACAGGGTTGTTATCATTTGAATCAATTGGAAGGCAGCAAGATTTATGCCTTTAATTACATTCATGTGTTGGACAACCATCACCACTATCTGTTTTCAGATTTTTCCATCATTCTTGGCAGAAGCTCAAAGGTTTAAGGGCGGTGGAACCATTGTTTCACCTAATTCTTCTTTTCTTGCATTCTGCATTTTATAGCTTCTCACTTCCGTTGAGTGGATTACAGCTCATAGTGACCTAGAGGACTGGGTAGAACTGCCTCTGGGTGTTTCTGGGGCTGTAACTGTATGGGAGGGAAAAGCCTCACCTTTCTCTCGGAAGTGGTGGGTGGCTTCAAACTGCTGACCTTGCGGTTCACAGCCCAATGCATAACCCACTACACCACAGAAATAAGGACTCACTGGTTGCTTGAGCTGTTTAGAGAAGTGGGATGAATTACATAGCCAATCAGTCCATACACCCACGTGTGGCAGAGGAGAACTGTGCTCCATAGCTTTATCAATGACTGATATCTTGGAAGTAGCTTACCTAGCAAGCCGTTTTCCCATGTGCCTCTGAGTAGACTTGAACTGCTAACCTTCTGTCAAAGCCTAGCACATTAACCATTTGTACTACCCAGGGACACCCTCAAATCATTAGGTGTTAGTATTTAAAGGGAAATTAGAAGACATCTCTTTAAGATCCTTCATTTATAAGTCAACTAAACTAAAGTTCAGAGACATAAAATGACTTCATACCTGAATGGTAGAGCCAGAACATGAACCCAGGCCATGGGAACCCTCTGATGCCAGGATACTTCCCACAATCCCACAATGCTTGTCGTGCAGATTAAGAATTCTGATGTTGCCAATGCTGCTGGTACACCTACTGAACTCAGTCAAGTCGCTTGGTTATAGTTTCCCAAACCCTTCAGCCAAGAGCACTCAGTGTAGTTTGTTCAGCCATTCACTGGAGTGGTAAATACGACCACGAGACGAGGAGCTCACTTTCGATCAACTTGTTAGTTTCCTGGAGGCTCTACAGCTCCACTCATTTATTTTACTTGGTGTCCTGTCCTGCTCTATTGCCTGAAAGTCCTGAAATCAGAGTGTGAAATGCATTGTCTATTGGTGTAGGTATAAAGCTAAACATAAAGATATAGGTACAGAAACAAGCTATCTATATCTATATACATCTGTGTGTGTGTGTATGTTTGTGTGTGTGTGTGTATGTGTAGACAGAGAGAACCAGAGAGAGCTTTGTTTTTTGCAAGAGATCAAGCGGCCTTCCACACCCTGGCAAGAGATCAAGCGACCTTCCACACACTCTGTCTTTCCTGGGACATAATGAATGACTGTGGCTCACCGCATTGACAATGATGGCAGCTCCCAAGCTCAGCACTCAGACCAAGATGAGAACAGCATCCAAGGGCACAGAAGACACTAGCGCTGTGCGCCGTGCCCTCCCATCCCTGCAGGCAGCACAGACCTCCCCCAGCCTTCCGAGTAGCCTGAATGTCGTCTCATGACATACCAATACGTGTAAAAATACCAGGCTCACGACTTCATGTGATGACAAGAAAGGAGTTATGATCGTCTCCCTCATTTTATGGATCTGGAGATGCGGGGAAGACAGAAATGAAAAAGAAAGTCATTTATAAGATGGGTCTGGAAAGGAGGCTTCAGTTGGTTCTGTTCTATATTTGTGGGAAGGAAAACTTTACAGTGAGCTCCTCATAGAGACAATACTAGCCTTTCTGACCCTTAAATTTTTAGATGTGCTTTTTCCTTGGTGGTTTAAAAATAATGTTCATTGTATTTTAACATTTTCGGCAAAGGTTTATACAAAAGTTTAAGTTCCCACTCAGTAATCTCTACACAAGTTGCTCAGTGGCATTATATTTTTCCCAGTACATGACTATTCTCATTATTTCTTTTCCGGTGGTTTCATTACCTTTCATCTCAGGTCCCTACCCCCTTACATTCTTATCTCTATTTCAAAGTAACTGTTGACTATTTGGCCTATTCATTTGAGGGATTTTTCAGATGAGCACAGTACTTATGGGTGTCTGGGGTTAATTGTTTTAATCAGTGAAATATTTCAAATAATAACAAATGCGCAGAGAATAACGAAAAATAGCTGGTATGTTGAACACATCTCAACATTTTTTCCTACAGCATTTTCCCTTCAGTTGTTTTGTAGTATAGGTAATTAGGCTGATCAGAGAGTTGAAACCACTTGGTTAAACTTTCCATATCTGTTTCCTATGCCTTGCTCCTCCGTGGTGAATTTGGTATGGGCTTATCCCATTTTTACATATTTACTTAGTCTTGCACAATATACGAGGGTCCTTCAAAAAGTTTGTGGCAAGATTCCATTGTCTTTTAATCTCATTTTCCCACAGACCTTTTTGAAGTCCTCTCATATAGTATGTGGTTTTAAATTAAACATAAATGGTATCGTGATACATATATAACCATTTTCCTGCTTTTAAAATTCAACATTATACTTTAATATTTAAGCCTGTAGACAAACATCACTCTAATTCATGTTAACTAAGGCATCACGCACCAGTAAGTGAAAATATATGCTTGTTTTACTCTTCTGTTGAATATTTAGGCTATTGCTATATATTAGTGCTGCAGTGCGCATCTTTGTGCATATCTTCTTCTATGGATATGTGAGGTTTCCCCTCAGGATGGATACTTAGAGATGAAATTTCTGAGTAATGGGAAGAATGTATCTTGAAAATGGTTATTTCCCTGTTGTTAGTTGTTGTCATGTTGATTCCACCTCGTGAAAACTCATTGTGTACAGAGGAGATCTGTCCTATACGGCCTTCAAGGCTGCTTCCTCTTGGGAGCAGAATCCCAGGACTCCCTTCCCAGGCACTCCTATATGGGTTTGAACCACCAACCTTTGGGCTGCTAATTGAATGCCTAATGGATGAGATTTATTGGTTACTAAATATGTTTTCTTCGTGGTTACACATTGGGTTTCTAAATTCAAAGCCACCAGGTGCTCTGCAGGAGAAAGATGAGACTTTCCACTGCTATAAAGAATTACAGTCTTGGAAACCCAGAGACGGTTCTACCCTGTCCTATAGGGTCACCACGAGTCAGCATCCACTTGATGGCAGTGAGTAATATAGTAAATAGATTTTCTGGTTATGTTGGCTCTATCTAATGCTTGCATTATATTCCCAGATTTCAGCTTAAAGAAAACAAAAACTATTCAGGATATGTGATTCTAGAATAAAACTTAAAATGTGTGCTTTGCTAACTTCCAGGTGAAAAGGTGTTTGTATCTCTCTACGGAGCCGCCATCGACATGAACATCCGGCTGGACAAGAACTCTTTGATCATTGAGAAAACCTACATATCTTTGGCCAGTCAGAGAACTGTCACCATCCACAACCGCAGTAGCATCATCGCCCATTTCCAGTGGAAGATATTTGCTAACCAGGATGAGGAGGATAGTGAAAAGAATAGGTTTGTAAGAAAAATCATCTATAGGCTGTGATGTTGGGGAGTATCCACCCCAGTTATTGTGAAAAACCAGTGTCTTTTGTAATAAGCTCTAAGCAACTCAAACAAGGCCAGATTTCCATAACTTGGTTCCAGTGCCCAATGCTCCTTGGGGCCATCTTCAGCTAACCTTAGCCCTGTTTTTATGCACCAGCAGCTGAACTTGTGGACTTTAAAGACCAGACATGTCCACGCTTCATTATTCTCCCCAAACGGATCTGCGTGTCTGCATTTCCCTTCATTGTGTTGATCAGATTTAATAAGGAGGTTTCTTTAAAAGAAAAAAAGCCCACCTGTTTGGGATTGGGACCCACAAAAAGTTATATATTTTCTTTTTACAGTAGACTTATATGTTCAAAAAAGATGAAGGATGAGGAAAAAGTAGGGCCTAGATATATTGGATTTAATATTCTCGGTTTTAGCCACTCTGCGTCATCCTGCAAGGCACATCATTTAATAATGGTTGCTTGCTGATACCTGTAATCTGCTTTTGGAAGCGATCCTTCAGGCAGCAGGGAAGATTAATAACATGTAAAACCAAAAGGTTTTAACTGGTCTCATCATTGTTCAATTTCGAAAATTTTTTTTTACTAAAGCCATCCTTGCCTCCAATTTCTTTGTTTGCCTCCTTCCATCCTCCTTGAATTAACACTTTTGCTTCTTTCATTGGAATTTCTTTCAGAGTTTCTCCCCTGCTCCCCCCTCCCCTTTTCGTTTTCATTAAAGATTAGTGTGGCGAAGCTTCAAAGCTTTGTTTAAAACCAACCCAGGAAGAGATAAAAAATAAAAGCTCATAGGTCCATGGAAACCAGGCAGAGATCTCCCAGGGTGCTTGCTGTCCTAATTGGATCAGAAGGGGCTGTAACAATGACCAGCCACCGTGGACCAAGAATCCTTGTATTTTGGACAATGAGCTTTAATCACTGGATTGCCACTGTGCCATCTCTACAAAGTGAAGAAAAGTCTTTCCTGCTTAAAAACTTCATTTTGCCTCATGGCATTGAAATACCAGTGGTTTAACAAGGCAAGAGGAAGTGGCTCCTGCACTGCGCCCTTGGTCCTGATGCCCCAGCAGGCGTGTGCGTGCCAGCCCTCAGCGTGGTCCAGCCGTGTTGAAAGACCAAGTGGGAGAGCAGGTCCAAATATACAGAAAGAGGAGCGGCAGTACAAGTAGGCTTTCCATATCGTGCCTGCCCCTTGAGCATCCTGTTTTGGGGAGAACAGTACACATTTGATAAATAGGAACCGTGGGGGAATTCTGTAATACATCAATCTGAACACGGATAAAACGTTTATTCAAAAACTAACAATGTTCCCCAGCACAAATTCACATTCACAAATATGTTACTTTGACTACCGATCGACCCCTATGATTTTTCAATCATGCGTAGTCAGTGAGTCGTTGTGTTGTTGTTAGGTTCTGCCCGATGGGCTCGGACTCATAGCTACCCTGTGTGCAGTCCTGTGCCACCCTCACAACTGCTGCTGTGTTTGAGCCCATTGTTGCAGCCCCCGTGTCACTCCATCTCCGTGAGGCCTTCCTCCTTTCTGCTGACTCTACTAAGCATCATGTCCTTTTCCAGGGACTGGGCTCTCCTGATGACATGTCCAAAATCTCACCAAGTCTCACCCACCTGGCATCTAAGGGGAATTCTGACCATACGTCTTCCAAGGCAGATTTGTTTGTTCTGCTGGTAGCTCGTGGTGTTTTCAGCATCATTTGCCATACCATAATTCAATGGTAAACTCTTCTACAGCCTTTATTATTCATTGTCTAGCTTTCAGGGACACAGGAGACGATTGAAAATGCCATGCTTTGATCAGGTGCTCTTTGACCCTTGACGTGACACCCTTGCTCTTTTAACACCTTAAACCGGTCTTGTGCAGGGGCTTGCCAGGGCAAGATGTGCTCGGTGCCTCCCCTGCTGCTTCCCTGCACATTGATTGTGCAGCCAAGTAACAGGCAGTCTTTGACAGCTTCAGTCTTGTCTCCGTTTATCAGGATGTGGCCTCTAGTTCCTGTTGTGAGGATTTTGACTTTCTTTACATTGGTCTGTAATTCACACAGAAGGCTATATTCTTTGATCTTTATCAGTAAGTACTTCAAGTTCTCTTTCAGCAAGCAGTATTGGTGTCATTTGCGTATTGGAAGTCGTTCAGTGAGGCCGCCTCCAATCCTGATGCTGTAGTCTTCTCCATGTCGCCAGCACACAGACTGAATAAGTACGGTGAAAGAATGCAACCCGATGCAAATCTTTCCTGGTTTTAAAGTGCACGTTATACCCTTGTTCGGCTTGAACAATTGCCTTTTGGTCTATGTCCAGGTTCAGTATGAGCACAATTCAGTGCTCTGGAATTCCCTTCCTTCACAATGTTATCCATACTTGATTATCCACACAGTCTAATTTCTTGGCATGTCAGTAAAGCAAAGTAAGCATCATTCCGTTATTCTCTGCTTTCTGCCAATATATATCTGATGTCAGCAATGATACCCCTCATTCCACATCCTCTTCTGAATCCAGCTTGAATTTCTGACAGCTCCCTGTCGCCACACTGTTGCAACCATTTGTGAATTATCTTCAGCAAAATTTTACTTGCATGTTATAGTAATCATTTTATTCAATAATTTGTGTATTCTGTTAGATTATCTTTCTTTGGAAGGGGCACAGATCTAAAAACCTTCCAGTTAGTTGGCCAGCTTGTCTTCCAAACTTCTTACAGAGACCAATGAGTACTTCGAGCACTGCATCCGTTTTTTGGGAACATTTCATTGGTATTATGTCAATTCCCAGAGTCTTGTTTTTCGCTCATGCCTTTAGTGCAGACTGGACTTTTTTCTCTAGTACCGCCAGTTCTTGATCATACCCTGTCCCTTGAGGCATGTGCAAGGTTTTCCAAGTACCCTCTAAATGTTGGTGTTTGTGATTCCCATTGTTTAACCATCAAAATTTCCCATGTCTTCATTTGGTATGATTGCCAGCACCTGGAGGAGCACCGTTGTACCTCTGGGTTTGTTTTTATCCATAATTGGTTTCTTGAAGCTTATTCCTAAAAGTGGAATTTATCATTTCAAGCAGTATGCAATCTGTACCTTTTCCAGGTACATACCAAATAACGAAACAAAAAAAATGATTTCCTTAAAAAAAATTTTTTTAGAATACTTTGCCCTGCTCTGCCCAGCAATAGAGGGACTGTGGCTTTGTTACCATGGCCGCTGTCTCCTCCTAGCCATCAAAGGAAGCCCTCCGTGCTGTCTTCATAGAAACCGGAGCACACTGAACCCTGTTCTTTCATTTCTTTATGTCAGGTGACTGAGGGGCCCTGGGTGGCAAAGTTAATTTTTAAAATGGAAAAAACCCCCAAAACAGTGTGATTTTCTGGTCGTGTCATATGCATAGAACCAGCCAAATAAAACTCACTGCCAGTGAGCTGATGTCGACTCATAGTGGCTCTGTGGGCTACACAGAACCATTTTAAAAATAGGGCTGGGTTAGGAACTCCCACTCAGCATTCATATGGTGACGAAATTTCTCTCTCCCTGCTGGCAGTACCGGTGGCAAAAAGTCAGGAGAATGGTCATGTATCTTGGGAAGAAATTAAAATGAAAAACGTACAGGTGAAGTACTGATGCCAGGGGGAATGGGAACACAGCTTTGGTGGCGGCGGTAGTTGGGAGGCTGGAAGAAGCTTTTTCTATCGTATCACGATGCATATTAAGTGCATCCCCAGTGAGGGAGAAAAGGAGACGTCTTTAGGTGCAGTTTGAGCACTTTATAGGCTTGACAGCTTTGGTAATTGCTTACGGTTGACACGGGGAGAAAACTGGTACTCACTGGACACCTGCGACCTCTCAGGAACTGCACCAGGTCCTTTATCACACTTAATTCTCAGAACATCTCTATGATGGAGGAATTCCTATTATTTCTGTTTTATAGGTGGAAACATTGAGGCTTGGGGGAATTGGAGAGCTCCCAGAGTCACACAGCTGGTAAAGAAATAATAGAGCCAGTTTCCAAACCTAGTCCTTGCTGGCTCCAGATTCTGTTCGCTAGGAAGCTAAACTAAAGGCTGAGAAAGAATTACACAGAAGCACGTTTAAAAGGCAAGAAACCCTTCTTGGAAGTGTGAGAGGTAAAAGAGAAGTTAAATATTTTAAAAACAGCCTAGAAGACACAATTACCTAAAAGAACAGTTTTGTGCAGATACACAAAAGAGCCTAGGAGTAAACAAATGGGCATTGGGTTGGAATGGAAGCTAGGAAGGACTTCTTGAAGGACGTGGTGAAAGGGGAGGAACCTCAGACGTCAAGAGATGAAAGTGCAAGATTGCCCGGCTAGGATCTGACAGACTCAGAGCAGAGGGACCCCTCTCTGGGTGATCGGCCAGAACCAAAGGGCATCTCTTTCCAAAGCATCTCATGGAGTTCCAAAATGAAACTCCTTTCTCCTGTATTTTCCTCAGGGTCTGTGATGATCTGATCCAAGAGCAAAAGAACGAGACTGACGAGTTTCTCGAAGAGTGTATCCTTGATCCTTCCCTCCGGGAACGTCTCGCCATTCTCTCCCGCACCTTTGAGAATCAGAGACGGCTGGTTCAGGAGGACAACATGCTCTTCCTGAATAACATCTTCACTCTGGAGCCACTGGTGAGCATACCTGCAGGAGCTGGTCCCACAGTGAAGGCAAGCGGGAGTGAAGGGCACGTTTCTGTGGGAGCATTGGATGGAGTGCGTACTCCACCAGTGATCTCATCATCATGAGACCTTGAAGGAAGGTCAGTGGTACAACGCTCACAAGTCACGTTTATGGAGCGTTTTCTCTGCGCCTGTCACTGTGTCGGGTGAGAAATTTGATAACTTGCTCAAGCAAGGTCAGTGGTGAGAAATGTATCCCTCTAAAACAGTTGCTTAACCTCGAATTATTGACACTTGGAGCTAAACGGTTGTTTGTCAGTGGAATTGGCCCGTGCATTGTAGGACTTTTAGGTAGTATCCCAGGCCTTGATCCACTAGATGCTGATTGTGACAACCAAATATGCCTCCAGACCTAGTCAGAGGTCCCTGGTAGGCAAAATCACCTGGGTTGAGAATTGCCCAGTCCTTCATTCACTCAATAACTACCTGCTTACTGGCAGTATATTTTGTACCAGATGCTGTATGGGTACCAGGCACGAGTGAACAAAACGAACATAATCCTCGCCCTCACAATCGAGTAAGAGCTGAGCTTAAATTAGACAAGAGTCTGTCTATTCCACACACCAAATTATTTTTTATCATTTTATTTTAATAAATCATTTTATTGGGGGCTCTTAACAGCTCTTATAATAATCCATACATCAATTATCAAGCACATTGGTACATATGTTGCCATCATTTCCAAAACATATTCTTTCTACTTGAGCCCTTGGTATCAGCTCCTCTTTTTTCCCCTCCCTCCCCCATCCTCCATCCACATGAACCCTTGACAATTTATATATAATTGTTATTTTCATATTTTATACTGTCTGCTGTCTCTCTTCACCCATGTTTCTGTTGTTTGTCACCCTGGGGGAGGAGGTTAACATCAATCATTGTGATCAATTCTCCCTTCTTCCCCCTTCTCCTCCCACCTTCTCCTTACCCTCATGGTATTGCTACTTCCATTACTCTTCCTGAGGGGTTTATCTGTCCTGGATTCCGTGTACCAGTGTACATGCTCTGGTCTAGCCAGATTTGCAAGGTAGAACTGGGGTCATGATAGTGTGGGGGGAGAAGCATTAAAGAATTAGAGGAAGGCTGTGTTTCGTTAGTGCTGTACTGCACTGCGGCTGGCTCATCCTTTCCTGGTGACCCTTCTGTGAGTGGATGTCCAGTTGTCTACAGATGGCTTTGGTCTCCATTCCAGCCTTCCTCATTTGCCTTGAAATGGTTGCTTGTTTCGTTCTCCTGATGCCTGATATTGGATCCCGTCGACACCTCGTGTTCACATGTGTTGGTGTGCTTCTTCCATGTGGGCTTTGTTGCTTCCCTGCTAGATGGCTGCTTGTTTAACTTCAAGCCTTTAAAATCACAGATGCTATATCTT